TATCTTTTGCCTTAAATAGCTTTTGCATAGGGTGGGAACCCTTTGTCCTCCCCCCTTGGTTCCCATGCCCGATCAGTGGAAAAACACTGGTATTCCAAGATGGAGTCCAGTACCAGGTGACTTGGTCACATGCCCTTGTAGGGACACAGCAGCCATGACTCCGAGGCTGTTTGTAGCGTCTTCAGGAAGGCACCCCGGTGGGAGATTAATATCATCTACGACCTATTGTTCTTCCTAATGGTCCTTTCCAGCCAGCCATCTAGACTGATTGCATTCTGCCTAGAGAGCATTCCCCAGGTGTAAACACATTTGTAATAGATGCATAGATAATGTTCCTAACTTGCACTTGGTTCTATTTGTAGTATGGTGTTTTGAGAGACAGTTCTGATATCTATCCGTTGCTTATCGACCTGTGTTCCTTCCATATCCTGCTGATCAGATCTCACCGTTTTTCACTCTAGGGGGTACCCAGGGTGGTGAGGTACCATACCACTACCTCTCCTTAGCGTGAAGTAGTCTGTGCCTGCTGTGGATAAGCTCCTTGAAACCACCAGCCTCTGGCAATTCAAGCACCACTTTCCAAACTTCTGGAGGCCTGGATCTCTCTGTATAGGTATCAGTAGACTCCCCCAATACTTGGAGCATTCTCTGTAGTGTCTAACCCCTGTTCCACTGAGTACTCACCACGCTGTGACCCAAGGAACAGAAGACACCAGCTTGTAAGGTGTGTTTCAGGACCCCCACAGCACTAAAACTTCTTCTTGTTTTAACTACAAATATATCTATTATCAAAGAATAGAGATTCAAGTGATAGTGAATAAGAATATTGGAACCAAACAGATAAAACTAATTTAGTCTCTAGAAGGCCTGTCATGATTTTAACTAACAGGTTAATGTCCTCTCTATAGAAGTTTTATCTCACCCGAAGTTCCTGTCATCATCTTCAACCAGCATTTCTCGTGAAGCAAAATTGCAGTCCTTTTGCATCCTCAGTGAAAGGTGCCTAGGTGTCTTCTCTGACCTCCAAATATAGTCAAGTGAACCTCTGAAGTGCACCCACCAGATAGCGTTCCCTCATTACGCCGCTCCTTTTCTCTTTCTGTTAGATTTTTTTTCTCTGAAGTTCTCACAATTCCTAATTTGCATTCAGTTCAGACTAGTGATAGGTGAACCATTGTGAAGGACACAATACTCAATGTACATGTAATCAGGTAGATGAATAAACATCTTTTGTCTGACAGAAAACCTGTTTCTCACCTTTAGTTGTGCCTTATACTTTGATACAGACGCTAAGAGCATATTTTCAGTGTGTGTGTGTACACACACACACACACACAAACTCCTTTGACAGTTGGCAGTCGGAGGGTTCTTGGCACACATCCACATCAAGCATTGCACCGGCTGCTATTAAGGCCTTCCATGGGAGTGTTTTTCTTTTCAAAAATAGCTTATATTTTCTATGCTTTTTGCAGCTTTCTGTAATACAGTCTTAGCAATGTTAACTGCTGAATTGGCTTTGTCTGAAGTGACACAGTTTGGGATTCCACACCCGCTGAATTCCTTCACTGCTGTGTACATGATAGGCATCGCAATAGAGTCTGACAGTTCATCTAGTTCCCAATAGTGGTCTACAATAATGAGGTAGTTTTTGTAGTTCCTGGAGAAAAAGTCTATTCCTAATTTTCTTCAAGGTCTGTTGAGGATGATGTGTATTTTCGTTGTCTCTTTTTGCTGCTTGGCCTGCATTGCTCCACATGTATCAAAACAGCTCACCAGGTCTCTGAAATCCTTGGCCATGTTGTCCATTATACAGCATCTCTGGGTGTCTGGATTCAGAGTTCTATCCAGAATGGCTCTGATGTATTCTTGAAAGAGTTTCTTTGTTCTGTGTGATCTAAGTATTAGGATTCGACTGCCTTTATATAGGAAGCTGTCTTGGATGCTCATTTGATCCCAATAGTTCCAGTATTTTTGAGAAGAAGATAGATCATCTCCTCTGGTGTTTGGCCATCCTGACAGAACAATGGACATGAGCACTTGTAAACCTTTGTCTTGTGTAGTTTGGTTTGTTCACAGACTCTGTCCATCTCCTGCCTTGAAACTGACACAGAAAGCATCAACCAAGTCAGTTATGTTTTTCTGTGTTTCTATTAGATTATCTCATTCTTGTTCAGTGGCCATATTTTCATGCTGCAAGACTGCTCTAGATAATAATTCAGCTTTGCAAATCTTAGTCCCTTTCTTGTAGTATACATCTAAGCTGTTGGGTTCTGTAGACTTTCAGAAGTATTTGCTGAAGCTGTTTTGGGATCACCAGCAGTAGCTTTTTAAAAATGCTGTCTAGTGATTTATGGTCATTTTCTACTCCAATGGTGTCCAAACTTTGAACATACTGGATGAAATTTTCATGTGCAAACTATTGCAAGACATTCCTTTTCCACTTGAGCATGTCTTTGTTCCATTGGTGGTAGTAAGCTTGATGCAAAGGTGTCACTTGTGTCAGTTTTGTAGGAGTGATGCCCCATGCACTGTCTCACTGGCATCACATTGTATGGTTGTCTCTCTGTTCACTTAGCGGTATTTCAGGATGGGATAGTCAGTCTCTAACTCCTTAGTACATGTGATGGCTGCATCATGTTGAAGTAACCATGTCTAGGCTGCATCTTTGTCTAGTAGTCACCACAGGAGTTCGCAAACACCTGAGATTCTTGGAAGAAATTTTGTCAGATAGCTTACAAATCCTAATAGTCTCTGAACTGATTATATCTTCAGGTATAGGCATCTGCTGCGTTAGGGGGCCAGGTTGTAGCCCTTGGGAGTTCAGCAAGTGTCCCATGTCTGGTACTGCAGTCAATCACAATGCGTCTTATTTTTATTTCATTTTAGATTTACACCTCTACCTCTACCCCCCGGAGCACTGCTTTACTACGTTATATCCAAATTCATGTTATATCGGGTCGCGTTATATTGAGATAGAGGTGTATTTGCCTGGCTTTTTCTAGTAGACAGATGAGGTTATGCTTATGATTATGATCTGCCACAGCCTCTGCTATGTGTCCCAGCA